TTTATACCATGACCGTTCTTAACTATTGTTCCACACTTAATATTCAATGAACAAACGTTCGGTAGCATTTGTAGTTGTGATTATATACACCAAACTGAACATTAGACAAATTGGGAAAAATGATAGTACAGACTTCATGAATTTATTGGCTGCACAGAAGGCCAGAGCAGTAATACTGGCTGGGCGAATGTCAATAGCCTCTGCTGTTCGAAGTTATCGATACGTGAATGCTTTCGGCAGTTTATTTGATAACCTATAGGTGATAGAGATCGATTCTTCAATGCTGGCCTTATGACCGATGTATTTAGCCACATTGATAAGTGTTCCCTAGCAAGAAAACTTCAGTTCCTAGAACAACGGACCACATAACTAGCTCCACTACTAGAGCAAATGAATTGGTTGATACAATTAGAACTGGCTGGTCTAGGTACTTCACCTGCAATCGGAGAATAACCGTCATTCATGTAAAAAATAAAACTTGTAGTTTCCAGCATTGAAAGTCCTTAGAACTGATTTTCTTAACGTCTTCGTAATAATTTCGCTAGGTATATCATCCTTGAATTGAAGTCGTTCGCATAAAGCCTTCTTGTTTATGGATAGTGAATAGTCCTTTTCAACTTTCTTAGTCATATGTTTCCAGGTGAATTTGTCTGGATAGCTATTTTCAACCAAGGTATCATATACAATCCTTAGTTCATCTTCAATTACCTCTTCTAAGCATATAGTTCCAACCCTGCAGCTTAGTGTTCTCATTAAGTTCTTATTGTGCCGAAGACAAACAAAGCCATGTACTTTTCGTAAGGATATTTCCCCTTATACTACCTACCACCTAGTTAACTGCTATATTTTATTACTAGGGTTTTTATGCAGCCGGCTTTTAAGATAAGATAATACCTTTATTCCACATCAGTACTTGTGATACAGAATGGAATTCTCAGCATTTTCCTACAATATTGCATCCAGTTAGTACATTAACAATAAATAAAGTTCTACATAGATTAAAGTTATCTCAGTCAGTTTTGACAACAACATATTAGCATGTCGGTAGCAAAGCCAAAATTTAAACAGAGTGTTTGAAGGTGTTAGAAAAGTAGATACTACTAGCATATTTACTGGCGTAAGCGATAGCAAAATGGTCGAGATATACAGAGTGTGAAAGAACGAACAAGAATGTTTTAAGTAGAGTTTGTAAGGAAGAGAGAAACAAAACAGCACATAACAAAAATGAATACAGAATGAAAAAAGGTGGAGAGAAAACGTTGTGCCTGTAAATGATGTGAGTTGGAAAGACGAGATCCATTTGTTCTACTGACTATTTAATAAGTTAAAGGTTTCCCGCCTAACGCTTTCTTTATCGCACAGAACTCGAGCTAGGTAGGGTGTGGATGAGTTTTTGTACTTACCAGTGCGGGCATATAGTTTCCTATATAGGCTTCTGGTTTTCCCTGAAGAGATACAAGGGGAGAGTTGTGAATGTAGAGGGTGTTGTGAGTCAGATAAAATGGATTGTGCCCATTTTTCACATGAGTCCACGTGCCTGTCGACCAGAATATTAACAAGCTGGCTAAATGGCGAACTGCTTACCCTGCTGACAACCTTTAACATCCTACGTAATAAGGTATAGTCTTTCTTCAATAGCCCAGGAAAGACTAAGGGGGAACAATAGAGGATAATAGGCAGAATACGGGAGTTAACAAATTGTAGTAGTAAGGGTTAGGTTACACCAGGAAGTCTTAACTTCTTGATGTAGAAGGTAAGGCGGAATATTTTCTTAGAAATCATCAAGATATGATGAGACGACCAGGAAAGATCAGCAGATACAATGACGCCTAGGTATTTAATTTCTGACTTGGTTTCAATTTCAGTGCCATCTTTGTTGCACACCTCGTGAGTGCTAACCAGTTTGTTTAGGCTTAAGGATACGGACAAAATGAACAATGGGCTCGTTGTATCCTGCACTAAGTATTATTGTTGGCGATTGCTCTATTCACATTTATAATGAGGGAGGTTGCTACATGACGTCATAGTCTTTTCATGCTATGCAGTAAAAAATATTTCTACCCAGTTTTTACTTTTCTATTATCGAGTTCAAGTCTTTTAGTTCATAAATGATACTTTAGTAAGTTTGATTAATGACATCGTGACGAAAACTCTCTCTCTCTCTCTCTCTCTCTCTATATATATATATATATATATATATATATATATATAAATGTCAAGGAAATTATGAATTTATCATTATGACATAGGATATGAAAAGTTAAACTGATTTTCTTTTCCTTCATTTCATTAATGACGTTTCTTTTGAATAGGAAATTTAAACAGAGAGATAATTTCAAAATAATATATATCACGATTGTCTAGTGTTGGTTTGCAGAGATTTGATTTGTAACGGAGGTGATCACGAGCTGGCATCCGTAAGAGAACTACTGGAAAACCTGGGGGGTGGAGTACTGGACAGCTATTTCATCTTAGTTTGGGACTTGTCATCAGCCTGTGCCCAATGCCAGGGTTTGAACTCAGGACCTTCCCTTGAGCTGGTAGACCATTCAGCTAATCTGCCTGATTCAATGACCCACGAATTCCAACCTCTGTCAATTGGTGATACGTGCAGCGCAACTGCCAGCCGTTGTCAAAGGAAAATAACTGTCCAACGTGTCCAACCTGTTGGACCACACTGGTTGAGAGTTCTCACTATGCCCTCAGGTAACTTCCTGCATAGGACAGTCGCTTGTGAGCATCAGGTAGATATTCCAGTGTTGGTTTTCAGGGAACTGAGTGGTTACATGGCTGATCAATCCCAACGGTTGAGTTCTATGAAGAGTCACAAACTAGAACGAAACAGCTGTCCAGTCCTACCAGCTGGTGTACCAATGCTTCTCTAACTGATATCAATTCCTAAGGTAACCTGCAACAAATCACTGTTTTATGTAAACAGTACTCACTAGGTAGAAAGAGAATCATGACAAGTATATTTTGTGGCTGAAAGATAAGAAAACAGTGTATTTATACTGATACCTTTTAAAACAGTGTAAAAAAATTGGATTAACTCATTTACCGTGCTCCTTCTATTATTATTAGTCTAGATTTTCGATTGATTTTCCACCTTAAATACTTTCTTCTCATGCTCCAATGAAACTCTTGATAATACCAATATATTAGCTACTAAATGATATAAAGTCTGTCTGTCTGGCCGTCTGTTTTCGACATAGATTTTTGCACCAATGTGCAGCAGTTCGAGTCACCACACTCTATGTAGCACACAACGCAAAAGAAGAAAGTAGAAGGAATACATAATAGAGACAGTAAACAGAGGTGTGAGACGAAGGAATAGTAATAACGAAGATCGATATAGTTTCATTTGAAATCATAAGTCACAAGGAGTAGATGCATCTCCGACAGCCAGCCAGTGAGAACGATCACTTTGAGCCACATCATCAACCGTCTTCAGCCATTAGTATTGACTGTCCCGACGACCCTAACCAGTCAGAAGGCCTACGCCTCCCTACGTGGATTAAACTAACTGTTGTGGATTTGATTGACTGATAAAGCCGTGTTTTGGTTTGACCACCACTGACCCTTTTCCAACCGGATTCTATGTCAGCTAACATGACCCACTGTCAAGGAAGGCGATAGCTAGACAGATATGTGTAATAAATGTCCTAACCACCTCAGTCTATATAACTTCACAGCCTCGTCTATTGATAACCCCTACTCACCTAGCACTCGACTGATGCCTCACCTCAATATTGCTCACCTTATTGTACCACTTCACACGGGAGATAGAATGCAGGCACCTTTGGTTGAGAACAGCTAATATTTTCATGTCTTCGTTTCTAAATGGCCAGGTCTCACAGCCATAAAGGAGGAGAGAGAGGACTGCTGAGCAGTACACTCGCCCTTTTGCCGATATCTACTTATCACGTCTACACCAGAGACGGCATAAACAGGCATCTGCGAAACTAGCGCTGTGTATCCGTACTGAGATTTCGGCAGAGATCGACCCGTTGGCGTTGGGTGATGCAACTTCCCTGATAAGCGAAGCTGTCAACACACTCAACCACTTCACTCCCTATTTCTAAACTAGGAGTCAATGTAGTTCATCAACACATCATTGATATGAAATATACACTCACCAAAATTTTGACATGGGCTAAAACGAAAATGATGGTCACTTCTATTATTATTTTCCTGACTTCCGAATGTAACACAGGGGTTCATCAGTAAATATACATTTCACCATGTTATATGAGGTCCTTTTAGGCTGACTTTCGTTTCCTCCTCCATATTACACTTAAATCTACGTCCAAATCGTCATTTTACATTCATGTTCAATTCGGTAGTCTGTATTACACGAGAAGTCACTCAATGGGTTTCCCCAGTGTCTGTCGGATCCATTTTTATTTCATGTGTTGGAAGGTAGGTTCTTGGTTGGTTTGTTGGCTGAGAGGCTTCCTTTCTTCTTCTTTTTCTTATTTTTGGTCATCTACATTTAAGTGTCGACAGAAGACAGCTGTTGATGAAAGTCTACAGTAAGTAGCCTTTCGGAAATGCTTTCGATGACACATCTGCCAACTGTTTGGGTCATGCAGAATCAATGATGTGAAAATTTTGATCCTAGTCCTCATTCTGAATGTCCTAGTTTTCCACACTAACTACAAATTAATGAAGATCTGTGTTGCTCAACGGATCGTGGTTGACTTTGGAAATCTTCATTTGTGCTGCTAGCTGTAGCTGAAACGATGCTGTGTAGGCCACTGAAGGAAGTGAAGTCATCAGCCATTCAGATTAATAACTTGTAGGTCCTGGGTTCTTTTTCTGGTAACATCTAGGTGAAAACTGATGAAGAGTCCCAAACTGGGATTTTAAAAGGTTTTTTTTAAACAGAAATCAATCCATGATCCAACTGCAAACCAATCAAATCTCTCAAAAAATTGATGCTTATCCTTCGATTTACTTATCACCATTTTCTCTCTCTCTCTCTCTGTGTCTCACTTCAGGTCTTCATCGTTCAGCCTTTGATCATTCTAATACAAGTTTTGATGAACATGTGGAAATTGATCATAATGTATGGCATTATGTTTATTTTATAATATATTTAAAAACTAAACCAATTCATGAATTAACCAGTCAAGAAATATACATAAATAAGATGGTGAAAGTAAGTCAATTGTAGTGGTGTACTTTTTTTTCATAGTCTTGTTATTTTCTGCTGTGATATGATGATTAAGGGCTTTTATTTTAAAACAGAAGATAATTTTGATTGATGTGTTATTCTTTCATAGAGGAAGATTTCGACCTTTCTTGTTTCCCTTTACTTCAATAAGTTTTGTTTTGTTTTGTGCGAAATGTAATTAAATACTGCTAAGACTGGATATTGTATTGGATTTGTTTATTTATTTAATTTGATTGACTTTGTTATTGTTGTTATCTTTGTGATTTTGCCTTCATTAATTGAGGTCACTTTTTTGTGAAATGACCTGCTGGAATGATTATTTCAGTGTCAGTCTAAGTTGAAGTCTTAGATTATTGATTTAGTGTTATTAGTTGTAGTGGCAGTAGGAAGCAAGCACTGAAATTCATAGTGTTATGTTAGCTGAATGTTGATATTTCTGTTATGGTTTTCTGGTCAGGTGAGATCTTACAGTGAGTTGTCATCTGAAGTGGTGACAGCTAGTGGAGTCCAACAGGGATGCTCACTATTCCCATTTCTATTCAATTTCAGCATAGATGTACTAATGAAATTAGCCCTAACTGCTGACTTCAGCTACTTAGGGATTGATCGATTTGTTACCAGGGAATAATCTCGTTGATTTAGAATATGCAGATGATATACTCCCTTATGGGTAAATTTTGTTTTGATAAAGTCTTACAGTGTTATACAGTAATGTTTACTGATGACCAGGTTTCGAGCACAATTTATCACTGCTCATAATCATATTAAGGTAATCACACGACTTCCTAACTTCATTTATATAGTTCCATTGTTTTTCTCTTGATTTTCACTTGATTTGATTGGTAATAGTATTTTCCATATTTCACGTATGAGTGACCAGTCATTCCTATTGCATGTATTGGGTGTAGACTCGATGAACAAGGATTCAGTAATCAACCTCTCTCTCCACCTATCTAGATTACTTTTTAGAATTTTAACCCTCTCCCACTCTATTGTGTGGTTGTGTGTTAGCGCATGCATTGCAATTGCTGAGCTTTTTTCTAAATTACTTATCTTCTCGGGGTCAGCCATTCTTGCCTTAGCTAAATTCCTATGCTCTGACAATCTGACTACCCCTGACCTACTAGTTTGACCTATGTAGTTGACCTCCCAGTCATTGCATGGTATTTTGTAAATAAATAATATGATATAGTCCTTCTAGGCGAAGACGCTGACATAATGCAAAGTCTTCTGAAAACTTTGAGCTGCAATCTGAGAATGCTTTGCATGAGATTTTCTTCTGTCAGATGTAAGATGATGCTACAGGACTGGGAAAGTGAAGTGGTAGGGCGTGTTGACCACTTAACTTATTTGAGAAGTTGCATCAGCCAAAGCCAACAAATTTATAGCTGAGAAAGCCTAAGCGCAGATACAGAAGGCTCGTTTCGCATATGCCAATTTACACCATCTGTGGCTTAGAAACTGTACCAAAGGGCGTGTATAATGCTCAACGGTATACCGCTCCGTCCTTCTTTCTGGTTGTGAGTGAAACATGGCCATTGGAAGTAGAAGACATGATAAGGCTAGCTGTCTTTGATCATAGGTGCCTGAGTTCTACCTGTCATAAGAAGTGGTAAAATAGGGTGAGCAATATTGAGGTGAGGCATCAGTCGAGTAAAAGGTAAGTAGGGGAAATCAATAGACGAGGCTGTGAAGTTATATAGACTGAGATGGTTAGGACACTTATTACACATACCTGTCTAGCTATCGCCTTCCTTGACAGTGGGCAACGTTAGCTGACATAGAATCCGGTTGGAAAAGGGTCAGTGGTGGTCAAACCAAAACACGGCTTTATCAGTCAATCAAATCCACAACAGTTAGTTTAATCCACGTAGGGAGGCGTAGGCCTTCTGACTGGTTAGGGTCGTCGGGACAGTCAATACTAATGGCTGAAGACGGTTGATGATGTGGCTCAAAGTGATCGTTCTCACTGGCTGGCTGTCGGAGATGCATCCACTTCTTGTGACTTATAATAGCCAATAAAACTATATTGTTCTTTCATATCACTATTCTTTTGCCTCACACCTCTGTTTACTGTCTCTATTTTGAATTTCTTTTTACATGCTTCTCTTGCTTCGTGGACTACATGGAGGGAGAGTGGCGACTCGAACTGCTGCACATAGGTGCAAAGTTCTATGTTGAAACCAGTCAGTCAGTCAATCAGTGGCTTTCTTGCAGTTAGAGAACTCATGGACTTTTTGAATCCCAGACCATTTTCCATTTAGTGTATATCAGAAATGGTTTTTGAAATTCTTCTATACTTAATTTTTTATGTATTAAGTATTGATTTTTGGGAGAAAATCATTTCAATGAATAAATAAATACAATACCCATCTTTTTGGATTGACGACAGAGTCCAAGAGGTGTATCGTCACATCCGTGAAACATGAACCGGGTGTACCTGCAGTCTCCAGTGAGTGCAGTATTCGAAGACGGAACTTTTCATTTCAAACGTCAAACTGTTAGCGAATGAACTAATAGCGTCACGAGACTCTACTGTTTTGATGGCACATCCAGTTGATGAGTCTTGAACAGGACAAAATGCCGATCCTTAGCTGCATCGCTTATCACTATCCAAAAACCAATATTAATTTTAGTCTCTCAATCCAAAAATCTACCTCAAACGACTTTGGCAATATGAATATAGACAAAACACCATGATTGGTTCATATTTGAATTTTATTTGTAAACTTATATATGTATTAGAGTTAAGCCTGATGAGATCTAATTGAAAACAATATTGTTCGCTTAAATGTGTTGTTCTATATGAATATTTGTCAAGTTGATTGTGAAATAGTATTACTTTGAAGAAGTAACATTAGTTTAGGAATGACATTTTAAAATTGTAGCTGGCAACTCATGATCTGCTATAACTAATGCTTTTTCTCATTCTACAAGGTTATACGCGTCGATTGTTCAGCGGCAGAACACTTGTCAACCATGCATGTGGTCCGGGATTCGATTCTTGACCGACGCACTGCTAATCCTAGATCAATTGGTAGTAAGACCGGTACTTGGTTAAATTAAGGCGTGAAGCTAGCAACCTGACCTTGTAACAATATAAAAATAATCCACTGCTACCGAAACTTCAAAGATGCAGGTAGCTCGAAGCCGTATGTATGAATTTATTAGTATTCCTGTCGTTATTTCAGAAACATTGTTTATCTATATAGTAGGATGAATCTCCTTGTAGTTTCCATCTGGTAGCTTGATTCATTTTTAGACAGTTTTCTGATTTCACGTTTGTATATTTCACGTAAGTATATTAAAAGTTTGTATATAATGTCCAAAGTTATTAAGTTATATTCTTATCAAATTTATAGAAAGGTGAATTCAAATGGATTCCGCGTAGACGAGCTATGACACTGCATAATATGGACACTGTTTCTACAAAAAAAGCTGAAGAAATTGATCAGTTGACTAAAAAGCTTGAAAAAACTATTCAAGCTGTGGAGAGCCTTAATGAAGGTTTTAAAAATTTATCTAAGGAGGTAAGACATATGCATTCGTTTTTATTTTTATGAATGCCTGCTTGAAACTTGGGCCACCAAAACTTTCCATTATCATATTGCATATAATTCTCCTGTTCCTTTTGATTTAATTGAATAAAATATGATGTATATTACTAGTATTTAATCATGCGAGAATTTTAATTGCATACAAACTAACGATTCTCCAGTATTTACTATACGCGTATTCTTGGTGGGCAGCGTATCCCAATAACTGTCGGGGATTAATAGGAATACCCTCCATCGATGACACTGCCTAGTGACAGTCAAATTATACTTTGAATTGCATGGAGGATTTCGTCATGAAGTGACATCAGTTAGAGAACCACTAGAAAACCTGAGAGTACTGGGCAGCTGTTTCACTGGTCCTAGTTTAAGACTCTTCAGCAGTACGCACCCGACGGGGTTCGAACCCAGGACCTTCTGGTTACAAGGCGAGCTCGTAAACCATTGAGCCACTGGGACCCGATCCAATGATTCTTGAATTTCAACTTCTGCCAGTTCACGACACAACGCGACCATTTCCCAATGTCTTCTTCGATGATGTCAGCTCATGATGAAATCCTCCACACAATCAAACAAAATCCGATACTTGAAAATTTATCTGATGAGCCCTTATCAGGCAGTTAACCTGGGGTTCAGTGGGAAGCCGTGACCAGTAGGGCACAGCAGGTGGAACATAAGGCAGTAACTCAGTCATCGAAGAAGACATCGCGAAATGGTCGCGCTATGTTGTGAATTCACAGAAGTTAGAATTCAAGACCATTGGAACGGGTCCCAGTGGCTCAATGGTCTACGAGGTCGCCTTGTAACCAGAAGATCCTGGATTCGAACCCCACAGTGTGGGAGCGTACTGCTGAAGAGTCTCAAACAAGGATGGAGGAAACAGCTGTCCAGTACTCCGGTGCTGGTTTTCCAGTGGTTCTCTAACTGACGTCAGCTAATGATGAAATCCTCCACACAATCAAACAAAATCCACACAAAACCAGTACTTGAAAATGCTTACATCTGTTCATTCGCAATGTATGTATAGTGCGAATGTTTCTTCTATAACGGATTACAACTCATGATCAAACCTGTAACCATTATTTTTTTTGGTTATAGCTTGATTCCACACTGTATTTTCGGTACAAGTATGGAATTTTCAGCGTGCATATCGGTAGCCCAAAATTCGCAGGCCGACCATGGATATCAGGTGTGCGTCGGCGTGGGCTCGAACCCCGGACCATGTGCATGGTCGGCGAGAGTCCTAACCACTGTGCCACCGACGCACCATTCAAATGTCTGCAAAAAACCACTCTTGATCGTTGTATAAACATTAAATGCATATTCTCTTTATTCTTGTATTTCATTTGTTCAATATAGATTGCAAAACAGAACATGGAAAAATCCAAGGAGAAGTTAATTTCACACATATCGAATTCTATTTCAAATCAGTTCAAGCAAGAAAAACAAGAGGAATAGACATTTACTAAAGAGTAATACAAATAAATAAGAAATGAACAATACTATAGCCACCAAAATAGTGTATTCTTCGTGCCTTTTCTTATTGTCATGTTGTCATATGTACACCACCAAAACAGCTAATGACTGATTGAGATAATCACAATGTCAGTTATTATAGTAGACATTTATCATGCGCCTTATGTCTTTGATAAGTTGTATTCTGACGTTTCTTATTTTCATATATATACTGTGTAATTTCTGTACTTAGCTGTAATCATCAAATTGACTATAGCTCCAATGCCATACATATAAAATGTAACACTGTTTCTATTCTCTTGGTTATCACTTTATCTTCTCGTTATATTCAGATCATGATAAACAAATACGTATTTTTGGTGTTCCTATGTTTGTGACGATGTTTTTGTCAAATGAGATCAATAAATTGATTATACCCATTGGTGTGTTGACTGTTTTGCATTAAATTTAGCTAGAGAGGTGAGTTCCTAGGGAATATAGGGCTTCTGCAAAGAATTTTCTATATTCTGCTGTCGGCTTTAGCTGGGTCTACGATTGACCATAATACCTCATCGCCTTCTAGCCACACCATTTCCTCAATGTCACTTTTGAACGATAAACTCGTCGCTTCACATTTGGACCCTACTCCAGTGATGGCCCGCTCTCCGTGAGATGTCATTCGACGGCTTCCTCAACGTGTGCCTAACCTACCTCCAGTTTCTCCTACATATTTGTTGAGTAGTTGGTTCGTTCCTAAGAGTTTTTTTTTCTATTTCCTTCTGGAAAGTTTGATCTTCATTTATAGAGATAAGGTGGGTGTTGATAAAAGCCTGTAATTTGTTGGAAATCCTTTCTGATCCATATAGAAGAAGTGATCGACTTCACATTTGTTTTGAAAATCTGATTCTCATTCTTTATGCTGCATGGTGAAGAAGATTTTCAAACAGATATCAGGTTGATGAAGGTGGATTTGCAATATTCCAATTCTGGCTAGCACTGACATATTCATCCGTTTTGCCTGCTTGTGGTTGAAACCGTGATTTCCGGCTAATAAGTGAAATTGGTAACCTCCGCTGAATCTCTCCCGTTGATGGTGATTAGTGCTGGTTGTTTTAGTTGTTGCTGTTCATTAGTTATCCTTATTACCGCCGTCCTCTCTGTGTTCACCTGCAGTCCTGTCTTCACTGCCTGCCTCATCTGCCAGCCAGTTTGTTGGTTTTCACCTGCAAGTCTTCAAGTTTGTGTGACATTACGTATAATTCATCTGCGAAAACCAGATCTTCTAGAGTCCTTTTATCGGTGGTTCAGCGTATTTCTGTCTTTTCACTCCAGAACACAGTCTCACGCATACTCCAGTTCAATACAATTAGGAGTATCATAGGTGATAATAGATAGCATTATCTTGCTCCTGTACTCATTTCAAACACCTCTCTGAGTTTTTGGTTGTAGATCACCTGACGCATGTCACTGCCCATAGCTGTTAAATGAGGTTGATAAAAGTGTCGGACATTGCACATCGTTGTGCTGAAGTAGTTTCCAAATGACTTCTCAGTCAGCGCTGTCGAATTAGATGAAACTAGAGCAGAGGGAGGTTTGACTGCCCTCCCAAGCTTTCCTGAATCCATGTTGTAATAATTTATCAGGTCAGAATGGAGATCATATTGCCTGAACCTTACTCATCGGTGACAGCATTCTACCAGTCTCATCAATGTCTTATGTAACTGAAAATGAACGAAGTCTTGCTTCACGAATAACCTTTCTAGTTATTAGTTCGCAGAGACTTGGTTGACCTCCATATTGATCACAAATTGATCTCATTTAGAGAAGCCTTGTAAACCAAGGAGTACTGGGCAGCTGTTTCGTCCAACTTTAAGGCTATTCAAGACTATGCATTTGTGACCTCACTAGGTCTCAAATGCAAGACATTCAGGTTGCAAGGCGAGTTGGTAGATCATTGAGTACTGAGACTAAATTAAGTGATCCCTGAACCCTACTCCTTTCACTTCCTGATATGACAGTACTCACTTTACCCTAATATGGTAACACTACCTTTGTCATGACTTCGCAGAACAGCTAGAGGAAATCCACTGAGAAGTTATGGCCGGTTGAGTTCATCATGTCAAGATGGAGTTGATACGCATCAATGGAATTTGTTAAAGGTGTCGTTATATCAGGAACTGGAAGGAGTTGGAATTCACAGATCACGGATCCTGGTCCAGGTGGCTGAATCGGCAAATAACTGATCCTTATAAGGTGAAGGTTGCAGCTTCAACCCCTACTGACGTGGTGTGTGAGCGTAGTGATGAAGGGTCCTAAAGTCGGATGAAATGCTTATCCGGTGAACCTTGGTTTTCAATGACCTGTGATTGATGTTGGTTAGTGAAAAAATCTCCACTGATAGGAGTGAACAAAATATTTCTTCAGTCAGAAATGTCTCTAGATGCATTCATAGGATATAAGGAAACAATCTGAATATAGGCCATCATAAACTACTACTAATAATAATAAGAAAACAACAGTTCAGTGAAATGTTTCCATCGCTTTGAAAGTGTAGGAATAGCCATTAATTATCGACACTGTACTTAAAGATAACAAACCGCTATTTAGCTAATTACTAGTAAGTTATTATTATTTCCTTTAATTCTTAGAGGAACATAGGGCTTCAGCTGCGCGTCTTCACTGCGTTCGGTTCTCCGCTAGAGTTTTCACCTGGCTCCAAGTCTGCCCACATGCTTTCATCTCCTCTTCAGATTAAATCCTCCAAGTCACCCTCGCACTGACGACCAACTCGCCGCTTCCCTTTCGGGTTCCACTCAAGCGATAGCTTGTCTAGTGATGCCACTTGAAGACTTCCTCAGAGAATGGACAATCCACCTTTATTTCTTCCTACACATTTAATGCACAATCGGTTCCTGGTTGGTTCGCTTATTGCCAGGGTCCCCTGTTGCTGATCGTTTCTGGCCATCTGATCTTGAGTATTGAGCGAAGACAGACGTTGATGAAGGTCTGTAGTTTGTATGATGTCCTCTTTATGATGCGCCAAGTCTCTGATTCGTATAGTGAGTAGCACTGACTTCACTTATTTTTGATGCTGAGTGCTGTTGACCTCCACGCAGACTTAGGAGTGGTAAATACACTACGATATTGATTTAGAAATGGAAGGGAATATAATATCTAGATTGCATTTTCTATGAAAATGCAGGTAGGGCATAACTGTTGACCATATAACTAAGATTCGCATGAACAGCAATTAAAAATGCGGAGAAATATATAATGGGTTTACATATTTTGGACATTCTGATCATACAGGTAGAAGATGACAAGGGATAAGCTGTGAATTCGCAGAAATAAGAAAAAATAAGCCATTGGATTCTGTTCCATTGGCTTAATAGTCAGTGAACATATCTTGTAACCTGAAAATCCTAGATCAGATTCCTAGCGGAGTCATGAATGCTTACTACTGAAGAGTCCTGAAGTAGAGCAAAACATCTGTCTAGTGCGTCCTGAATTTTAGTGGTTCTGTAAATGATAGATGTCAAGCTTGGAGACATAAAAGTTTAAAATTGAATGAGTGCTGGTCAAGATGTTTGTGGGTCAAGATAATAAATAAGAGCTAGGAAAATGAGGTTTATGTTCCATACCATTCGAAGGTACATACAATGTGGCTAAATCTTATTAGCCATTTCTATAATATGCTCTGAGGAAGATGATGTCGGGCATCCGTTTCCAGAATCATAAGAATTTGACGATTTTGTTTGTTCTTCCATGTACTTAGGAATATGTTCGCTAACCCACCCTGACCTTCAGATATCTACTTGCCCTTCAAATGATGTCAGGGTTGACAAGATATGAAAATGAATTTAGCTACATGGTAAGTTCTATTGAGTGCCACTCTGATCCTTTGTTTAGTGATCAGTTTTTCGGCAATCACTCATGAATGGTAAAGTCTGCGCTAATTTTAGGCGCTTCTGTAGCGTCTAATGAATTTCAGAAGATACTTATATTACTTAATACTATTTTAATGAGGATTTGTATTTCTCCTTCAGTAGCCTCCTCTGTGCATAAAAGTTGAGTGCCTCTGAACAAGCATCCAATTAACGCCATTTTATAATGGAGGGGAAAGAAACCGTGGTTATTTATATAGTGTTCTATCCAGGTGAACTTTCTGTAAACAGGTGTATCCTGTCGTCAAGTTATGAATAAACTTAAAAGTGGCGAGTAGTCATTATTTCATTCATTTTTCAGCACGCCAACGATACGCTTTTGTAATGTATTCATCCAGTTGATAATTTCTGCAGTGTCTGTCGGCTAAGGAGGAACAACAGACTGAGTGAGGAAACATGCATTCCTTTCAACTGATTCCTCACAATTGGTTCTACATTAATATGTAGCTTTTTAGATCAAAATGTTTTAACAATCAAGTGATTGCTTTAGTGAATCAATTTTAGGCATAGTAGGCGATGACATTAGGAGGTTAAAAGTCATCAAAGCATCATTTAACTAATAGATGTTAGTGAAAAGATATCTAAGTTTTGAAGGAGGGGTGAGAACCGATTACTTATGGAATCCAAGGTCCGTTAATTCTTAGGTATTAGCGACGAGTTATTACATAATCAACAAATTTGTGAAATATCAATTATGACTAGGAAGAATAGGATGACTCATAGGAATTACGTAAAAGGTTCGATCCCCTGCCAACGCACACCTGATATCTATGGTCGGCCTACAAAATTTGCGCTACCGATATCCATGCTAAAAATTCTATACTTCTATCAAAAATACAGTGTGTGGAATCAAGCTGTAATCAAAAATAAATATACATTCACTATAATGTATGTATAAATGTAGCGCCTGATGATGAATTTATCGAAAAGAGTACTCTTTGTTCAGTATTCATTCTTTTGAAAATTTTAATAGGCATTTTTAATCAGTTGAGATGTTGTGAGCTGCCTGTAGCGTTGAAGGTTCTCAATGAGTACCTGAAGTACAACGCTAAGCTCAAT